TGAGATGTGCTCTGGCCTCTCCACTGTCACAGCTTCCTTGACGTAGTGTAAAATAACATTCATTCCCCTCAACCCAATGGTCTATGATTGACGATATGATTGATTACGCTCCATCAAGTGGCTTCGACTCCTAGCAACCACATAAATACCCTCCTTGACGTTCTGTGATTATCCTAAGATTAAAGGATAGAAGGTTGACCAGAGGACAGTAGCATTTCATTTATGGGCTGCTGCAAGTGATTTTATCTCACCGGATGATTGCGACTGTACTTTTATCTAGACCTTTTATCTAAGCTGATCTTTTGTAAGAGGAGTAATTTTTTTTTCTGCAAATTGCTTCTATAGCATCTCAGTGGTTCTGCCAGCACTGCAGCTTGTCAGGGGGTTAACCTGATTCTTGCTTGGTCTGAAAACACCTCTCACAGTTCCCCAGCAGATGGTATAGATAGTCAATCAAATCAATCATAATACAGCTGGAAAGGACCTTGGAGGAATTCTAGTCCAACCCCCAACTCAAACAGGAAACCTTCCCCTATTTCATACAAGGGGCTAAGTTTCTTCTTAAAGACCTCCAGTGATGGAGCACCCACAACTTTTGAAGGCAACCTGGTTGATTTTTCTGGCTGTTAGGAAGTTTCTCTTTTAATTCCAAGTTCCTTCTCTCCTTGGTTAGTTTCCATCCACTGCTTCTTGTCTTGCCTTCTGGTGCTTTGGAAAATAATTTGACCCTTTCTTCTTTGGGGCAGCCCCTCAAATACTCGAATACCGCTAGTACGTCAGCCTAGTCCTTCTTTTCTCTAGCTTGGCCATACCCATTTCCTGCAACCGTTCTTCGTATGTTTTAGTCTCCAGGCCTTTAATCATCCTAGTTGCCCTTCTCTGCGCTTTTCCCAAAATCTCAGTATCTTTTTTGCAGTGTGGTGAGCGAAACTGGATGCAAGATTCCAGGCGTGCTCTTACTAAGGCTTTATAAAGTGGTACTAATACTTGACGTGATTTTGATTCTATACCTCTGCTTATGCAACCAAGGATTTTATTTGCACACTGCTGGCTGATGACCATTTGTTTAGTGATCGTTCAAAGTTATGTCGCTGAAAAAAGTGACTTATGGCCGTTCCTCGCAGTATCCCCATGGTGATGTGATCAAAATCCAGGCGCTTGGCAACCAGCGCATGTTGCAGCATTCCCGGTCTCGTGATCACCCTTGAAAACCTTCTCAGCTGGCTTCCGACAGCCAAAGTCAACGGGGGAAGCTGGCTTTGCTTAATGACAGTATGATTCATTTAGCAACAGCACCGATTCGCTTAATGGCCATGTCAAAAAAAAAAGGTCATAAAGTTGGGCACGACTCATTTAACAACTGCCTTGCTTAAGAATGGAAATTCTCATCCCAATCGTGGTCGTAACTTGAGGTTGATCTGCATTCAGGGAAAGGCTGCCTCTGAATTTTGGTGATCGGTATCATCTTCACAGCTACATAGCTAGAGGGCTATTTTTTTCTTTTTATATTATATGTCCCTGTCCCTCCCCAGCCCAGTTCGAACAGGAACAGCATCCCAAGACTGTCCTGCTTCTAAGAGAAAATGTTTCTCAACTTTGAGAGAGCTTGAAGATGAGTTTCAGGATTCCAGCAATCGCCCTAATTAAATCATGATTCTCGAGCCAAACTTCAAAAAACTTCGAAGGATTTATTAGAGGCGACATACTGGCACTGCCCTGAATGTAGCCAACTCTAACATACATACATAATTTACAGTCACCTGTGACCCTGTTTCCCCCCCCTCCACCCTGGGTGTCTCATAAACCAGATTCTCCAATTGAGCACGTTCACGGGCTGGGTGTCATCATTCACATTCTCCAATTAAATATATTCCCGGGCAAAAGCTCTGGTATTTTAGTTACAATCTTTTAAAGATAAAGAATTGGAATGTACTTTTGCTTCCAAACTGCTGCACTTCTCTTCCAGGTTTCCTTCCTTCCCCCCCCACCCCGGCTTTTTTTTCTATGGCAACCACTAAAACAGGCATATGAATGTTTTATGAGTTGACAATGAGTGGACTTCAACTCCCAGGATTCCCTAGCCAGCCATGCTGGCTGAGGGAACGCTGGGAGTTGTGGTACACATCTTAAAATCAGCAACGGGTAGAATCACTGTTTAAGAGCATTGCAGCTCCTTACCTTAAAGTGATATGGGGCTGGGTTTGGTTTCGACCCATGCAATTTAGCACAGCCATATAACAATCCTGATTCGGCTTCAGGTTATTTTCCTCCAGCATGGAAAACAGCCAGCCAATTTTCTTAAGCGCACCCTGAGCAGAGAAGGAAACAGGAATGAAATGCAACCACAGACTCGATCTGGCTAATCCCAGGTATCCCCCCCCCCGCCATCCCCCATCCCTTAAAAAGAACCATAACACAATCCAAAATATAAAATGGAAGTTCTGCTTCTTGAAATAAAGTTGAAAATCCTCATTGATCCCATTTATATAACATACTAAGCTGTACTGGGGGGTGGGATTAGCGTGCCAAAAACGTTAGCTAAGAAGCATTTAGCTACAATTCGTAATTCATGGCATGGCTGGCTGGGGAATTCTGGGAGCTTAAGTCCATAAATCTTAAAGTTACCAAGCTCCCTGCTCTAGATCAAGGGTCTTCAAACTTGACAAGTTTAAGACTTGTGGACTTCAACTCCCAGAATTCCTCCTTTAGTCATGTTAGCTCAGGAATTCTGGGAGTTGAAGTCCACAAGTCTTAAAGCTGTCAAGTTTGAAGACCCCTGCTCTAAATTATGGCTAAGCCGCCATTAGTCTTCCATGGAAACGATGCAGCGTGCAGGAATGGCCGCCAAGTGGAGCCTTTCTGGCAGCTGTGCCTCTACAGCTCTGCTTTTGTTTTTCCTTCTGAGGGTTTTCATAAGAAGACCAAAAGGCAATTTGCCTTAAAGACTGTTAAGGAGGGCAGCCTAAAAGAGGCCAACAACCAACTGGAGCTGTATACACAAACATAGTCACGTATAAATTGTGCGTATGTGTGTGTGTCTGTATGTGTGCCTACGTCGGTGGAGATTCTCAGTCATCCAGGTCATGGTTGTCCCAAAGGTGCTTTTTTTTTTTTTTTCAAGAGGCAACTGGACTTTCTGTTTTTTTTTTCTTTGAAGACATTTTGCTTCTCATTCAAGAAGCTTCTTCGGTTCTGACTGGGTGTAAAAGACAAAGGCCACTCTTTTGAAGACAGCAAAGTCCACATTTTGGACAGAGAGGACCGCTGGATTGAAAGAGGGATCTCAAAGAGGCCATCTAGGTCAAAATTGAGCAGCCCTCTCTCCACAGAGGGGGAGGGATACAACATCATCTATCTTCAGTATATAACACGGTCCTTTCAACAGCTCCAAGGCGGCTCCACCCCCATTTGCACCACTCAGGTGACCCTGAGGACACAGATAAACCTCCAGGTGGGCCTCAACGACTCTCTAGAACAGGGGTGTCAAACTCAAGGCCCGCAGGCCGGATCCAGTCCACGGGGTGCTTAGATCTTATCAACAGTAGAGACCTTCAAATTTCTAGGTTCTATCATATCACAAGATCTAAAATGGACACCTAACATCAAAAACATCATCAAAAAAGCACAACAAAGAATGTTGTTTCTGCGCCAACTCAGAAAGCTCAAACTGCCCAAGGAGCTGCTGATCCAGTTCTACAGAGGAATGATTGAGTCTGTCATCTGCACCTCCATCACTGTCTGGTTTGGTTCTGCAACCCAACAGGACAGACACAGATTTCAGAGGATAATTAGGACTGCAGAAAAAACAATTACTACCAACCTGCCTTGAATCGAGGACCTGTATAGTGCAACAAGTCAAAAAGAGGGCTGTGAAAATATTTACAGACCCCTCACATCCCGGACATAAACTGTTTCAACCCCTGCCCTCAAAACAACACTATAGAGCAGTGATCCCCAACCTTTTTGATGCCGCGGCCCGGTACCGGCATCAGCTGGGCGCCGCAGCCCGGTACCGGCATCAACTGGGCGCCGCCATCTTTTTTTGACGAAAAAGATGGCGGCGCCAGCGCTTCCGGTGAGCTTTTTCGGGGCCGCCATCTTTTTTTGATGAAAAAGTGCTTCCGGTGAGCTTTCTATCTGGAAAAGCTCACCGGAAGCACTTTTTTACCAAAAAAAGATGGCGGCGCCCAGCAACCAGCGGCCCGGTAAGACTTGTTCCGCGGACCGGGACCGGTCCACGGACCGGCGGTTGGGGACCCCTGCTATAGAGCACTGCACACCAGAGCAACTGGACACAAGGCAGTTTTTTCTCCAACGCTATCACTCTGCTACACAAATAATTCCTTCAACACTGTCCAACTATTTACAAAGTCTGCACTACTATTACTATTAATCTTCTCATTGTTTTTATCACCCATCCCCTCCCACTTGTGATTGTATGACTGTAACTTTGTCGCCTGCATCCCTACGATTTATATTGACTGTTTCCTAGTATGATTTGACTGCTTATTGTACCCTATGACTATCATTAAGTGTTGTACCTGATGATTCTCGACTCTTGACGAATGTATCTTTTCTTTTTATGTACAGAGAGCATTTGCACCAAGACAAATTCCTTGGGTGTCCAATCGCACTTGCCCAATAAAGAATTCTATTCTATTCTATTCTATTCTATTCTATTCTATTCTATTCTCGGGAGCCCATTTTCGCTGACAGAGCACTCAGGCTGCCAGAGCTGCCAACACAAATGATGTTAAGCTGGCCACACACACACACCCCAAGGTCACACACAGCTCCGATGTGTCCCTCAATGAAATCCAGCTTGACACCCCTGCTCTAAAAGGATGCAAATGACCAGCTGTCTACAAGGAGTATAAATCCTTCCATTTCCCCATCATCCAGTCAGAGCTGAAGAAGCTTCTTGGATGATAAGCGAAATGTCTTCAAAAGAAAACAAAAAAGTCCAGTTGCCTCCTGAAAAAAGCACCTTTGGGAATGAATGAATGAATGAATGAATGGAATGAAAGGATGAAGGTCAGGTGGGTGGTAGGGAGTCTCGGAGTGCAGAGGGCCAAGAGTGACTGTGAGTGGGCTGGGCAGCTGCAGCTTCTCAGGGTGTGGCCAGCAGCCCCAGAGCTTTTGCAGGGTGGCCAAAGGACAGAGATGGATGAGTTGGAGGTTGAGATTTAGGGCTGGGAAGGACCAAGCCTGGAATGGCTTAGATTGGGCTGGGCAGTGGCTTAATGTCCCACAATTCTTGGTTGACCACAGCAACTGGGACTGATGGGACTAAGCAATGTGGTCACTTGAGTTTCAATTTAGGACCATGTCACTTAGCAACAAACATTCCGGTCCCAATTGTGATCGCAAGGCAAGGACAACCTCTGTCTGTGTGTGTGTGTGTGTGTGTGTGTGTGTGTGTGTGTGTGCTCATGTAGCTTAGATATTCTGCATATAAACACATATACAGGCAGTCCTCAACATACGACAGTTCATTTTGTGACTGTTTGAACTTACAACAGCACTGAACAAAGTAACTTATGACCGTTTTTCACACTTATAACCAAGACGACATCCTAGAGCAAGGGTGTCAAGCTGGAAGGCCCGCGGGCTGGATGCATTGGATGCGGGCCAGTGGTGGGATTCAAATTCTTAACCACCGGTTCTGTGGGAGTGGCTTGGTGGGCGTGGCAGGGGAAAGAGACTGTAAAATCTCCAGTCGGAGGTGGCATTTGCCAATTCTCCAAACTACTCAAAATTTTCTACTACCGGTTCTCCAGAACTGGTCAGAACCTGCTGAATATACCACCTCTGATGAGGGCCATGCCCACCCCAGCTCCAAAAATGTTGCCAAACGTCACGTGATGCCAAGGTGACATTGTGCGTTTGACACCTGTGTCCCAGAGGTGGGTATTCAGCAGGTTCTGACCAGTTCCAGAGAACCGGTAGCAGAAATTTTGAGTAGTTCGGAGAACCGGCAAATCCCACCTCCGACGGGAGATTTTACAGTATCCTTCCCCTGCCACGCCCACCAAGCCAAGCCCACAGAACCGGTAGTAAAAAAAAAAATGAATCCCACCACTGCTGTGTCCTAGAATTACGTGACCACAGACTCTCTCAGCTGGCTTCCCACAAGCTAGGTCAACAGGGGAAGCTGGATTCGTTTAACCACAGTATGATTCACTTAATGGCTGCAGTGCTTTGCTTAACCACTGTGGCAAAAAAAGCCGTAAAGTCAGGAGCTTAACCCTTAACCACCGTCATGCTGAGCACCAGAAATTATAATCTTAACTGTGGTCGTATGCTGAGGATCACCTGTATGTCACAACCTCCCCGGAAGGTTTTTCTATGTGTGTGTGTGTGTGTGTGTGTCAGAACTGCCATCCTATGCTTTGCTGGATGTCCATCTACCATAAGTCATGGGGGGAGGGATATCTGGCGGGGGGGGAGGGGAGGAAACCAACAGTGATCCTTCGTGCCGTCCCAAGACACCCAAAGGCCTGAAAAATGGAATGCACCACCTGCCAAACCGTTGCAGGGACAGTTACCAAAACAACTTATTCGAATGTGACTGGACAATGGGGAGATAACAGGGGAGTGGAACAGAGAAGGGAAACTTAACTAGGGAATATTTGCGCGTGGAGTCTTAGATCCGGCTTTGCTCCCTGTAACCCCTTGGCTATTAATTAGTTAAAAGTTAACCTTTTCGTTACAAATGGAGTTGAGGGTGTTTCTTTCCGAACAGACCAAGGTGGGCTAAGCCTGACAGTATGTGTCTGCAAAGAAGCAAAATAAATAAAATACATAAAAATACCTGCTTGGCATAATGACACATGAGGAGACTGAACATCTGTGTAGTTAGAAACTTCTTCAGCCCCCGGGTATTGTGGAAATATAACAAACACTTTAAGGCTTTCCTCTTCTGGCCTTTGTACAGGGAAGTGTCCATGTAGGCTAAAATGGTCATCCGAATATCGTCCTGGAAGACTTTCATTTCTGGAAGCACCCTCCCGTTAAGCATCGGCACAGCCTGGACAGCCGAGGAAACAGGAGGCTGATTTCTGTCCCAGACCTGGATCCCTGTCAAGACGATTTTGGAGTCCGACTGTGCCTCGGAGCCATCCGCTGTAGTTTTGCTGACAGATTTCGGGGAGCACTTAACTGCTTTTTCCACCAGAGTGTTAGAGGAGATAATCGTTTCTAACATTCTGCTACTCAAGTCCCAACGCTTCATTTTACTGGCTTGTTTTTCCATCTTCACTTTGGCCTTCCAAGCATTTGGTTGGATGGTCCGGGTTGGGATGGGCTTGCCCTGAGCCGTTTGGGGTGCCGAGGTCTTCTGCACCTGGGCACCCGGAAAGTAATTGAATTTCTTGATCTGGCATACTTGGATCTTGGGCTTTAGGATGTCCGATTCATTATCAGCCCGGAGTTGCTTCACTCTAGCTTCCAACACTGGGATGGTGTTGGGGGGTGGGAGGAAACAGAACACAATATATGATCTCTAATTGTGTAGGCGACACAGAAAAAGGGATATAAATGTGTCAATGATATAAAGCAGGTGTCAACTCATAAAGTATTTCGGTGGTCGTTCAGCGTTGCCAACAGAAAGGGAGGGAGAAGCAGTGGCCAGCTTGCATTCCATAAATGTTTTGAAAGATAGTCACTAGATGACTGAGGTTTCTGCCATGCAAAATTCTATGGGGAGTATGATTGATGACTCTTGGCTATGGATGTGTCCCATTGGAGGATGTGAATTAGGATACACCCAGGGGGTAGGGGGAAAACCAGGGTCAAGGGTGACAGTGAATTACGTGTCTCAGAGTCAGCTCCACCCAGGCAATGCCACATTTTTAAACTCCCAGTAAATCCTTTTGGAGTTTGGCTAGAGACTCATGATTTAAATGGGGTTAAGTGTCGGAATCCAGACAGTGCTGGGGAACTGTCAGCCCTGAACCCATTTTTTTAAAAAACTGGAGCCATTTGGGGAACATCTTCAGGGCTGCCACAGCCAGGCCGGTTGGAGGCATGAGAACTAAAGGGGGGAGATGGAGATAAATGGCGATGTGTAGCCGAAACTACGTTCTTTCCCGTGGGAGCCAAGGACCTTCTAACCAGGTGTTGGAGAGGCGTGGACCAAAGCCAGCTAAGATGGCGGCTGCGACCTGGTTGGACCATGTGATGGACTTATGACCTGAGGGGAAGAACTTTGGGGTCGGACTTGGGTGGGGAAAACTCCACACCTTCCAGTTGAATTTGATATGCCAATAAGACACGCCTAATAAATTTATGCCAGAAGTCTCCAAACTTGGCAACTTTAAGACTTGTGGACTTTAACTCCCAGAATTCCTCAGCCAGCTATGCTGCCTGAGGAATGCTGGATGTTGAAGTCCACAAGTCTTAAAGTTGTCAAGTTTGGAGACCCCTGATCTATACTTTGAGGAAGATGCCTGTTTTGGAGTTTTGATTCCTTTGTGTTTGCTGGAACCCTGACAGGAACCACGGCCCTTTTATGACTTGTGGACTTCAACTCCCAGAATTCCTAAGCCAGCATCACATGACCCCCCAAGATACTGCAACTGCCATAAATACATGCTGGTTGCCAAGCACCCAAATGTTGATTCTGTGACCACGGCAACGCTGTGACAGTCGTTAAGTGTGAGGACTGGTTGTAAGTCACTCTCTCCAGTGCTGTTGTGTCTTCAAATGGTTGCGAAAAGAATTTTAGGTCGAGGGCTACGTACAGAGGTACTTACAACATTTAGTGACCGTTTGAGGTTACAACAGCACTGCAAAAAAGTGACTTTTGACCATTTTCACACTTTCGACCGTTGGTCACGTGATCAAAATTCAAATGCTTGGCAACTGATTCCTATTTATGACAGCTGCAAAGTCAATGGGGAAGCCTGATTCACTTAACAACCTTGTTACTCACTTGATAACTGCAATTATTCACTTAATGACTATAGCAAGAAAGGTCGTAAAATGGGGCAAAATGCATTTAGCAACTGTCTTGTTAGCAACAGACATGTTGGGCTCAATTGTGGCTCAATTGTGGCCATAAGTTGAGGTCTCAATTGTGGCCATAAGTTGAGTTATTCTCATTGCAAGCGTACAAATCACTGCAATCGATACCTCAAATACGTAGACATACAGTTCTGAATACGAATCGCGCATAAATATCTGCAGAGATGTTTATTTTTATTCTGGTTTCTTGGCTTACCTTCCAACAGCTCCACCTGCTCATGTAACCATAGTTTCCTGCTTTCTTCTTTCACCCTGGTCGAGTAGCATCTCATCCCAACACGGAGGCTCCCTAAAAATGAGAGAAGGCTGATTGTTATGGGAATTGGTTACAAAGTACCATCAGGGAGAGAACAAACCAACATGTTTTCCTCCTTCTTGACTTCCCAGGAAGTGCAGCCTACGAGTAAGGCAGTTAGTTACCAGAGAAAAGCAGGGGATCCTCCAGTTGTAAAACACCCTCCACAACATAATTCCACTGGGGCCTGTCTGACGGCCTTTCTATCGCTGATATCATCTGTTTTATTTTCCAAGCCAGTTTCAAAAATTTCAATGTTTCAAAAATCCAAAGGGTTGTTAACTGCTTTACTGTGTTGGATTTCCTCCCTCCCTCCTTTCTTCTCTCCTTCCTTCCTCTCTCCTTCATTCTCCCCTTCCTTCCTCTCTTTCTCCCTTCTCATCACTTCTTGCCTCCTTTCCTTCCCACCTCCCTTCCTTCCTCCCATCCTTCCTCTCTCTTCTATATAATTTCAGAAGATACAGCCTTGATAAGTATCGCTGCTCAATGTTTTTATCTATCCATTATACTAGCTTCAGTGTGGGTTTTAATACTGTTTGCATCAGTGGTTCTCAACCTTTTTATTCACTATGGACCCTCTTTAAATACCTTTTGTGGACACGGACCACCAAGACTTAACTCAAGAGTGAAACATTTCTTCAAGGCTTTGCAACCCACCCACCCTTGTGATGACATCGTGACCCCCTCAGAGAACCCAGGACCACAGGTTGAGAACCACTGGTTTACATAACAATATTATTTTGGGTTTTGTAAGGCCTTTATCATCTATCACCCTGAGAGCCTTTGTTTCTGGATGTTACAGGTGTGCAATCAACCCATTTATTCCATCTGCATGTTGTCAGTTTGGTAAGGGAGTAAGTATATAAGCTTGACAAAGCAAGCAATGGAAAAGGAGTAACATGTCCTCCTCTGAACTGCAAAGAAAGCATTTCATATCTGGCAAAAATGTTTATTTATCGGGCTCAAGATATCCAGCTGGGGTCTAGCTTACCCTCTTTTTTTACGGAATAAAAAGTGAACATTAAGAAACCTATTTTTTTTAGGTGAAAACTGGCTTTAAGCGGTGAGTGGGAAAAGAGGGGACTTAAAAAAAAAATTTGTATGCTAAGACTTTGTTGGAGGAGATGCCTTAAGGATTGAAAGACTAAAATATATTGTAATAAGACTTTAAGAAACAGATTTGGACTTTCCTTTTCTTTAATTGATACTACCCCAGGAGGAGAGAGTGGGAACTCTGTCTTGGTTTGGACTGACTGAGAACTTTGGGATTGTCTTATTTTTCCTTTGGAATATTCTGGCTGTTGTAAGAGAAAAGAAAAGAAAAGATTTATAATGGCTTCTTCTATCGAGGAACTGAGAAAAGACTATGAGCAAGCAAAACAAAATGGTAAAGCTGGTTTGAAAGAAGCTTTCCTTTTTTTTGAAATGGCGCTTATTAATTATCAACAAACATTACAACAGATGAAGACAGCAGAAGAAGAACAAAGAAAGGAAGCCATCTTTAATAAATCTCAGAACTCGACCAAGAGGGAAGGAAGAGGAAAAAGAAGAGAAATAAAGGACTTAAGATTTAAAAAAAACATTTAAGAAAGGGAAAAACAAAGTGCAAAATCAATATAAGGATGGTAAACAAAAGGGAAGAGGAATGCGACAGAGAAGGGAAGCCAGTAAGGCAGAGGCTAGAAGAAGGGGGGCTAGAAAGGTTTGTTGGGGGAAGAAAGAAAGAGAAAAGGTGGAGAAAAGTTACAAAGTTTTGAAATTAAATGAGAAAAAAGAAATTTTTTTTAGAGATAAAGGATAAGTATAATCTCTTCAAAGAGATTTTGCAAGGTACATAAGATGATATTGTAGTATTGTATCAGAAATAGAAAATTTAAATGGCTTGAGAGTTGATAAGAGATTAAAATGTTGGAATGTTAATAATGATTGGTTTGAAAATATAATATGAGGGGAGATTTAGAATATTGAACTTTAATTAAAGAGTTTATTAAGATTATGGTATTGATGTTATTATAAAACCTTCATTATAGTATTTTGTTTTTAATATTTTAATCTATTGTTTAACTATGTATTTAATTGTTTTAGATGTATTATTCAGTTAGAATGTACCAAGCAAAATCGGATTGGGTATTTTAAAGATTAATTTGATTAATTTAGTGGGGAGATAGAAAGGCATCATACTCTGATTAGTGATTTCAGGAGAAATTTCTTTCTTTTTAAAAGGAATGAGACAAAGGTATAATAGAGAATGGACAAAAGATATAAATATAATGACTCAAATTAAGATGATTAATTAAGATAGAATCAAGAAGAGTGAAATATGTGGAGAAGTTAATATAGAAGACTTAGAATGGTAAATAAAATAAGTAATGATATGTAAGATGAGCCTGAATATAATTGAAGTCCATGAAAAGAGAGATACCTGGGTCCAAGTTACTTTCCAAAAAGATCTTTTATATGTTTTGTGTGTGGTGTGATTATGTTGTTTTTTTGGGGGGAAAATTAATAAAACCTTGTAGAAATACAGAATGAGAATAATGGTAACTAAGTCAGAAAGAAGCAGATGAAATAATAATAATAAAATTGAATAAGAGTGAAGAGAAATAAAGGGAAATTGGATAAGAGGTTTTTGTATGTTTATATGGAAATGGTTTAAAATAGAATTATAGTTTACCTGACTTGTTAAATTTATAATGGAAAAAGGTTTAAACATGTAATGGAAAATGATGACTTGTGTGTTTTGAAAATTAATAAAACTTGTTTTAAAAAAAAAAGATATCCAGCTGGGGTTGGCACTCCAAAACTTAAAGAGGTTCTTCATATGTAAGGGCAGAAAATCAAAAATGAACACTTTATCCACTGTATTACCCTTTTCCCAACCTTCAGAGGGATGGGGGATCACTCCCCTCCCTGATTTCATTAAGATAAAGCATATTTTAATGGATATGTTCACACCTGCTTTTCTAGATTATAAAACATCTCATCCAATGTGCAACCCCAATCCCAAGAGAAATCCAAACCAAGTTTAGGATACTCTATAAACGTAGCTGTTGCAGCTTTCGCTAACCAGGTTATATCTAAAATAACAATATACCAATTAAAAATATAAATATGTTAAGTTTGTTCATCCACTTATTTTTATTACATTTATCTACTAGTACTGTTAAGCAGTGGTGGGGGTGTGGAAACACAAGGCCTTATATTTTTCTTCATTAGAGGGCAATGGATTTCATTGGGAATTATGGAAAACAAATACAAGTAGTCTTCGACTTACAATCATTCTTTTAGTGACCGTTTGAAGTTACAACAACATTGAAAAAAGTGACTTATGACCGTTTTTCAAACTTATGACCGTTGCAGCATCCCCATGGTCACAAGATCAACATTTGGACCCTTGGCAACTGGCATGTATTTATGGCATATGATTTATGCAGTGTCTCGGAGTTATGTAATCCCCTTTTGCAAACTTTTGGCAAGTAAATTCAACGTAGAAGTCAGATTCACTTCACAACCATGTTACTAACTTAACAACTGCAACGTTTCAGTTATCAACTATGGCAAGAAAGGTTGCACAATGGGGCAAAACTCACTTAACAATGGCACTGCAAAGCAAGGGGAATTTTAGTCGCAAGTCGCAAACTACCTGTAAGAATAGAATAGAATAGAATAGAATAGAATAGAATAGAATAGAATTTCTTTATTGGCCAAGTGTGGTAGGACACACAAGGAATTTGTCTTGGTGCAAATGCTCTCAGTATACATAAAAGAAAAGATACATTCATCAAGCATCAAGAATCATCAGGTACAACACTTAATAATAGTCATAGGGTACAATAAGCAACCAAATCATACTAGGAAACAGTCAATATAGATCGTAAGGATACAAGTGACAAAGTTTCAGTCATACAGTCACAAGTGGGAGGGGATGGGTGATAGGAACGATGAGAAGATTAACAGTAATAGTAGTGCAGACTTTGTAAATAGTTGGACAGTGTTGAGGGAATTATTTGTTTAACAGAGTGATGGCGTTTGGGAAAAAAATATCCATGTGTCTAGTTGTTCTGGTGTGCAGGGCTCTATAGTGTTGTTTTGAGGGAAGGAGTTGAAACAGTTTATGTCCAAGATGTGAGGGGTCTGTAAATATTTTCACAGCCCCCGTGTAGTATACAGGTCCTCCATGGAAGGCAGGTTGGTAGTAATTGTTTTTTTCTGCAGTCCTAATTACTCTCTGAAGTCTGTGCCTGTCTTGTTGGGTTGCAGAACCAAACCAGACAGTTATAGAGGTGCAGATGACAAGGGAGATCAAATAACAGGCAAGATCTCCCTTCACCATCTTGATCACTTCACCATCTTGCGTCTGGGCAAGTTTCTTAGCATCCGCCCAGACGTGTGGCTGAATCCCGAGGCATCTAATTTACGAAACTTCCTCCTCTAGGCAGCCTATGTGGATCTCCTGGTGGTCTCCCTTTCAAGCACCAACCCAAGCCAACCCAATGGGTCAAAGGCTGTCAACCAACGAGGCCAGGGAAGGCATCCAAATTTCAAGGAGTGCATAGGTTTGACCCTATTATCCCACCCCACCCCAAGAGGGGAAGGGTGGCGAGTTCAAATCCATCCACCTCCAGTAGGGCTAAGCGCCCTTCTCCCCCAAAGATCCGGGTGGAGGTGAAAGGCTCCCTTGAGGAATCCCCATCGCCATACTTCCCGCCCCACAGGACACCACACTGACCTTTGCCCCACAGCAGCGTCCCTTGCAGCTTCAGCATCGGTTCACCCCGCTGCCCTCTACATCTTACCGCCCGGCCGGGAGAGCCCGCATGGCGAACCGCCCCCTACTGCGCACGCGCGGCGCTCTGCGCACGTGAAGAGGACTCGTCTCTGTGGTTCCTCTCGCCACCCAATGGGCCCTCCGCTCGAGAGGGCCGGGGATAGGATTGGAAACGACCAATCCTCGGAGGCACGGCGAGGACCTAGAGATAAGAAAGGAAGAAAAAATAAGAGAGGGCTGTTGCTGGCAAGCCTCGGCGATCCATCGCGAGGTTCATATGCAGCTTTCCCCCTCTCCTTTTCGTATCGTTTCGTATCAGAGCCTTTTACCGCGAATAAAGGAGTCATATGAATTATAAGCAGTTTAAAAAAATCATTATAAATCATAAGGAGTTAATTAAATGGGATTTTGTAGAAGTTTCTTTTTTTTAATTGTATTGTTTTTAAGACAAACATAGACAAACAAAACATAAAAACATCAATCCATCTTCCATATATATATACATATACATATACCTATACATATACATATACACATACACATACACATACATATACATATACATACAATGTGTCGGTTGGTTTACAAATTGTTTTGTGCTTCCATTTCGTAGACTTCAGTTACAATTACATTGTATATATTCTCATATTTTCAATCAAATATTAAATACATTAATATCGTTAATCAATCATTTGACTATACTATTGTTCATTCGAGTTTTATGAAATAATCCATATTTTACTTAATTTGTTTTATGACACTTCATATTATCATCTCAAATCTATCCTACAATCATTTTGTAGATATAATAAGAAAAGAATACATCTTTATATATTTATTATTTTCTAAAAGTCTACATATTTCATTACCATGTTTTATTGTCTAACCATTGATAGAATAGATCCCACATTTTATAAAATTGTTTATCATCTTGTTCTCTGATTTCAAATGTCAATCCACTCATTTCAGCACGTTCCAATATTTTCTCAATAATTTCCTCCTGTGATGGTATTTTGGACTTAATGGACTTAACTCAGCTGTTAAAAGAAGGAAAACTTTCCATAAATTAGAGAAATTAAAAATTGATATAATCTGTCTACAAGAAGTACATATTAAAAAGCAACATGAACAACTATTGATACAGCCAAAATTAGGGAAAATATTTACTTCTTTGACACAATGCAAGAAAAGAGGAGTGGTGTTATACATTAAAGATATTATCCCAGCGAAATTGATCTATACCGATGATGATGGAAGATTACTAATGGTGAAAATAATGGACAATAATATGAAAAACACTCCTGATTGCACTCTATGCCCCGAATGACAATCAAGAAGAATTTTATAGAAAACTACATATGAAAATAATCAAACTGGACTATGCTAATATAGTTATGATGGGAGACTTTAATGGAATTGTAGACTATAAATTGGACTATACAACACAGAAAACAACAAAGCAAAACAGAAAGACTCTCCCTAAATCTTTTTTTTAAATGATAGATGAAATAAATTTAAAAGATACTTGGAGACAAAGAAATGCTAAGACTAAACAATACACCTTCTATTCAAACAGACATTTATCATGGTCCAGAATAGATATGATATGGATGTCAACAGAATTGTTAGCTAATATCCAAGAAATAAATATTGAAACAAGTACTTGGGCAGATCACAATCCAATGACAATTAAATGGAAAGGACAAAGAAGAAGATCTAGATGGACGTTAAATAATACTATATTAAAGGAAAAAGATTTCATACAGAGGGTGGAGAAAGAACTGGCTTTTTTCTTTAGAGAAAATAAAAAAGACACATCAATGCAGAATGTATGGGATACAATGAAGGTATATGCCAGAGGCTTGATAATAGACTATACAAGGAAAAGAAATACCACAAAAAGACTAGCCTCTAAGACATTAGAGGATGAGTATAAAGGACTTGAAAAAGAGCTACAGAAAATGCCACAGAAAAAGGACATTAAGTTAAAAATGGATATAATTAAACATAAAATGGGACTAATGGAAAAAGAAGAACTAGCACAGAAAATCAGAGGTGCGAAACAGAACTATTTTGAAGATGCAAATAAACCAGGTAGATGGTTAGCATATAAATTGAGAAAGGAGAAAGAATCAAGGAAAATATTGCAATTAATAGATGATCAAGGCCAAGTTTGCTATGGAAGTAAAGAGAAGAAGGAAATCATTCGAGACTATTATGGGAAACTATGCACACAAGAGAATATTGACGAGGAAAGAGTTAAACAGTACTTACAGAATGCTAATCTACCCCAGATACCTAAAGAGATTGAAACAATGTTAGAAAGCAATATAACCATGATGGAGTTAACTGAAGCACTTAAGAAGCAAAATAATGGAAAGGCACCAGGCCCAGATGGACTTCCGGAAGAATTTTATAAAACACTACAAGAATAGTTGAACCTTCCATTGCTCGAAGTTATGAATGAAGTTATGTTAAAGAAGAAGATACCCAAATCATGGTTAGAAGCTTATATTACACTTGTCCCAAAAGAGGAGGCCCGATCCATTACAAATCAAGAACTATAGACCTATTTCCTTACTAAATGCAGATTATAAAATGTTTGCTTCAATATTGGCAGAAAGACTTAAAAAATACCTAAACAATTTTATCTACCCTGATCAAAATGGATTTCTGCCAAAGAGACAAATTAAAGACAATATGAGAGTAATCTTGGACACTTTGGAATACTACGAGGCACACCCTGAGAAACAAATGGCTTTGATATTTTTAGATGCACAGAAGGCATTTGATAATGTGAATTGGCGATTCATGTTATTACAGCTGAAACAGATGAGCAATAGAAGCTATATATCATAAGCAGAGGGCAAAGGTAATGATAGAGGGAGAACTGACAGACTCTATTGATATAAGAAAAGGAACAAGACAAGGGTGCCCACTATCACCTTTGTTGTTTGTGTTAACCTTGGAAGTGTTAAATAGAAATATTAGAGAAGTAAAGGATATAAAAGGGATGAAAATTAAAAAGGAAGAATTTAAGTTGCAAGCATTCGCAGATGATCTGGTTTTCATTTTAGAAGACCCACTAGAAACAGCATCAAAATTGATAGAAAAGATAGAGGCATATGGAAAGATGGCTGGTTTGAAAATAAATAAAGACAAAACAAAGATTTTGACAAAGAATATGCTATCAAGACAAAAGGAAGAACTGGCGGATGTATTGAAAATCCAGGTCACGAGTAAGATCAAGTACTTGGGGATACATTTGACAGCAAGATGTAGTACACTAAAAGAGAATAACTATATTAAACTTAAACAGCAGATAGCGCTAGATTTGGCGAAATGGGAAAATTTACAACTGTCATTAATAGGGAGAATATCAACAGTCAAGATGAATATATTACCCAGAATTTTATATTTGTTTCAAACAATTCCAGTTAGGCTTGGAAAAGATTATTTTGAAGATTTAAATAAAATTGTGTTGAAATATATATGGCAAGGTAAGAAAGCGAGAATAAAGTTAAAACTTTTGCAAGATGCCACAATAAGAGAAGGATTTGGTTTGCCTAATTGGTAGTTGTATTACCAAGCTACAAATTTGATGTGGGTTAAGGAATGGATAACATTAAGAAATACTAGATTGCTGACATTAGAAGGACATGATCTGTTGTTGGGGTGGCATGCTTTTTTATGGTATAAAGGAACTAAAACACAGGAGTATTTTAGAAGACATTATATACAGGAGTCTCTGTGGTTAAACTGGGAGAAGACTAAAAGGCAATGTTATTTGAAAATTCCAGTCTGGCTATCGACTATTGAAGCATTTTCTTATCCTATAATATATAAAAAGGAACAAACAGTTAGATATGGTGAAATATTGAATGAAAGGGGTGAACTTAAATCTATGCAAAAATTAGAGGAACAAGGTATAAAGATGAATTGCACAAATCATATGCGCAAATACATTCAAGGTATGATAAAGATTCTAAAACAGAAGGTTTCTATGATAAACTGACTGACTTAGATAAGATTTTGACAGGTACTGATGAAAAGGTGATTAAAAAATTGTATGGATATTTACTAGAAATTAAACTAGAAGAACAAGTTAAAGAAACTATGATTGCTTGGGGGAAGAATTTTGGATATGGGATTGATCTGGAGAAATGGCAAAAATTGTGGTCTCAAAATTATAAAATGACAATGTCAACAGCATATAAAGAAAATTGGTATAAGATGTTTTACAGGTGGAATTTTCCCCCAACAAGAATAGCAAGAATGTTCAAGAACAAATCTGAAAAATGTTGGAAATGTCATCAGATACCATATGTGGTGGACTTGTGCGGATGCCAAAAAATATTGGACTAAAATCCACACGTGGTTAGAAAAAATGATAAAAAAGCATATAGACTTGAAACCAGAGATATTTTTATTGGGAATTTTACCTGAAATATATAGTAAAGAATTGAAATATCTGATTGTAAATGTATTAACAGTGGCTAAGATTGTATTTGCCAAAAACTGGAAAAAAAAGAACATTTTAATAGGGTTTCGAAAGTGTAAATAAATTGGTAGCCTACAAATATCTTATTTGTTAAATTTATACAGCTGTGAGTCTGGCAGCTATTATTTATTTATTAAATTTATATGCTGCCCATCTGGCTATCAAGTACTCTAGGCTACAAGATAAGAAAAAGAGAATGGAAATCATTAATACGTTAAAATGATAAATATAGAAGCAATACAAAGTCAACCACAAAAATTGAAAAGAAACTAAAAAGTTCAACCACTTCCCTTTAAAATATTTTTTCCAAATGTATCCACTCTTATTTTTACAAATAATTCAAGGGGGCAAACAGATTCAATACACCTTCCTCATTTTCCTCACTACAACAACTGTGTGTGGTGGTTTGGCTGAGAGAGGGACTGGCCCAAAGTCACCCAGCCAGCTTTCATGACTAAGGTGGCATTTGAATTCAAACTCTCAGACTTTCCAGCCTGGTGCCTTAAATACTAGAACAAACTGGTTGCCAATTCTCCTGATGATCCTCCCAATCCTATGTATTAGTACTATG